TCCAGAAGAGCTCCAAACGGCAATTGAATATCTTAAGAAAGAATTTGAGATGAAAGATCTTAGAAAAATAAAACTTTGTCTTGGTCTGCGCATTGAGCATTTAGCATACGAGATCTTTATCCATCAATCTGCCTACACGGAAATGGACTTAATACGCTTTTACATGGACAAAGTGCACTCATTGAGTACACCGTTGGTTGTTCGATCACTTGAAGTGAATAAGGATCCGTTCCGACCTCCAAAAGAGGACGAGGAACTCCTTGGTCCTGAAATACCCTATCTCCATGCAATTGTAGCACTTATGTATCTTGCTAATGCTACAAGGTCTGACATAGAATTTTCTGTTAATTTACTAGCAATACATAACTCTTCTCCTGCACGGAGACATTGGAACAAGATTAAGCATATATTGCGATAGTTAAAGGGAACTCTTGACATGAGTTAGTTTTATGCTAACAAAAGTAGTGCATATCTTGTTGGTTATGCAGATGTAGGTTATTTATCTGATCCCTATAAATCTCGATCTTAAACCGGCTACGTGTTTACATATGGAGGTTCTGTCATATCATGACGCTCCACAAAGTAATATATTGTTGCTACTTCTTCAAATCATGCTGAGATAATAGCTATTCATGAAGCAAGTAGGGAATGCGTATGGTTGAGATTAATGATTCATTTCATTCGAGAAAAATATGGTTTGGAATGTGATAAAAGACCCACAATTTTATACGAAGACAATGTTGCATGCATAGCCCAATTAAAGGGAAGATTTATAAAAGGATATAGAACGAAGTACATTTCACCAAAATTATTCTACACACATAATCTTCAGAAAAATAGTGATATTGATGTACAACAAATCCGTTCAAGTGTCAATCCGATGGATTTATTCACTAAATCTTTGCCAATTTCAACTTTTGAGAAGATGGTATACAAGATTGGAATGCGGAGACCCAAATATTTGAAGCAAGATTTTCATCAAGGGGAGTAAAATACGCGATGTGCTCTTTTTCCCTTACTAAGGTTTTTCCCACAAGTTTTTTCTTCTAAGGTTTTTAATGAGGCAGCTAGCAATGCGTATTACTAAATATGTGTACTCTTTTTCCTTCACTAGGATTTTTCCACTAAAGTTTTCCTAGTAAGGTTTTAACGAGGCACATTATCTTTAAATGAACATCCAAGGGAGAGTGTTATAAAAATATTATATTGTGGATGTCCATTTATTACTCCGCTGAAGTTTATCTCTAAGAAACTCAATGAAATGACTTGCATCAACTTCTTATTAAACAGGCAGGTTGAGAGCAACTCATTCAGACAGCTTACAAGCAGCTCAAGAAAAGCCTTGCAGCTACTTCCTTTTCTATAAATAGAGGAGATTTCAGTTCATTATATACCTCAATTTGAAATTGAATAGTATATCAATCTCTTTTTATAGTTGTCTTTAGTTTATTTACTTTGCAGTTTTTTTATATACAGTTTTGACAAAAATACTTATTTTTAGATGTTTGACCAAATATTGGGGGAAGTGCACAGTTAGCCACTAATTAGAGCTGTTTTTACTCTTTAGCCATTGTTTAAAATGTATTTACTCTTTAGCCAGTGCTTTAATAAACTTTTACCCGTCCGGACAAAAATACTCCTATGCTAGACATGGTGTCCTTAACTTCATGAGTGTTGTGTAAATATTAAGGACAAAGTGTCCTGAATCAGCACCTTCTGTTTTAAACTTTAGGACATCATGTCCTTAACTTCATATGTGCAGTGTAAATATTAAGGACATGGTGCCCTTAACTTCATGAATGTTGTGTAAATATTAAGGACACAGTGTTCTTAACTTCATGAGTGTTGTGTAAATATTAAGGACAAAATGTCATGTATTTGCACCTTCCGTTGTTAAGCTTTAGGACATCGTGTCCTTGACTTCATATGTGCAGTGTAAATGTTAAGGACATGGTGTCCTTCAAGTTCACGTGTGCAGTGTAAATGTTAAGGACATAGTATCCTTAACTTCATGAGTGTTGTGTAAATATTAAGGACATGGTTCGCTTAATACCAAGAAGTTAAGGACATTTCAGAAACGTTTGTCCTCGATATTAGATTCCTAGTTCAATATTTAAGGACGTTTATAAAATTATGTCCTAACATTTACTTATTTCGCTTAATGTCCAGAAGTTAAGGACATTTCAGAAATGTTTATCCTCTATATTAGATTCCTAGTTCAGTATTTCAGGACGTTTAGAAAATTATATCCTAACGTTTACTTGTTTCGCTTAATGTCTAGAAGTTACAGATATTTCAGAAACTGAATTTGATTCTCGTTTAATCACCACAAAACAAACTCAAGTAAGGAATGCAGCTTCTCAATAGCAGTACAAACAAATCCCAGTAGCTAATTTGATTCAATTTTCACGAAATCAACAAAGCCCAAGTGATCGTCTTCTCTAAAATCGGCTTCGCAAATTTTCGACAAACCCTAGCAAATTAGATCACAAATGGTCCAAATTTGTAGAATCAACTCACAGAGGTATTTCCCAACAAATATTTCAATTGATTTTGAATACCCAAATTTTCAAAGAAGAAACGAGAGCTTAAGTGCTGGAGAGAAGCGAGGGTTTTGAGATTTTGATAATGAAAAAGGGTTTGAAAAGAAAAGAGATGAAGAAAGGTTAAAAACATCTATTCATATTAATTATAACAAAGTAGTGGCTATATATGCTCAGCATTGAAATTGGTGGCCAAATACTAAATAGCATCTTAAAAAAATGGCCACCCCATGCCATTTCCACCCAAGCATTAGATCTATTACGCGGCGCCTTCCTGAAGTTCCTTGGAAGGGCGACGTAAGGCTAAGCAACCGATGTCAGTGCGGTTGCTATGCGCCAACTGAGGCCCTCGCCGTACGCTAGACTAGATTGTCAGTGCCGTACGGGAAAGCCAATGTCGTGAGCAATTGAGCAGCGGAAAATGAGCAACTGATGATGAAAGCTGATGATTGTATTGATGATGATGAAAGCTGTTACAAGATGAAATGCGGTGTCGGGGGGGAGAGACACCAGTACAGAGAATNTTTGCTGCATGACTGTCAGTCTGTCTGCCTCTAGTTCCCGATGGGCTAAATCCTCAGCACGCTCTTGTTGGAGGTCCTCGAATTAGCCATGAATTTTGGTTGCCTCGACGGCAGCCGTTTGTCGGTCTTCCTCAGAGTCTTGACTGATGTTTGCTATGTCATTTTCGGCCTGCCGCATTCTGCGGTCCAGGTCGTCCAACCTTTGCACTAGGCTGGTTTTTAGATCAGGCAACGTATCCACGATGGGCCGTAATGCGTCAACCGTCTCTTCTAGGGTCGTGATGCGATCCCCGTGATTCACCATGGTCAGAAATGGTGATGATGATGCTAATGAGTTTCCTCGTCCGATGTCGAGCCTAGGCTCTGATACCAACTGTTACGCGGCGCCTTCCTGAAGTTCCTTGGAAGGGCGACGTAAGGCTAAGCAACCGATGTCAGTGCGGTTGCTATGCGCCAACTGAGGCCCTCGCC